TCGTCCTTTGCAGAAATATTGGAGAGATTAAATATATTAGACCTATTACCATATCTATTATGGTGCAATATAAAACACAGAGTCTGAAATAATAGCATAAAAGCAAAAAAAAATGTTGTCACATACATTAGGTGCAACAAAAATAGTTTAATAAAAAATTGTCAAATGCCCTTTCTAGGTATTTCTAAGAATCCTCATGGCATTGTTAGAAATACAGCTTTATAAGAAATGGCAGATTGTAAAAATCTCTGTATTTCAGCATAATGTCTACATACAGTTACATCATCAATTTATAAAACACTTTAATTTGCTGTAATATTTGACCATTTTTAAAAAACATGTTTATGATATTGCTAGTTGTTTGAATGGATGGCAGGATATCATATCTTACTAACTACAGTGCATTGATCAAACAGGATTATTTACTAAAGTGAGAATTGTTGGGAATTGAAAGTGAATTTCAAACATTAGGCAAGAATAGTAGAAATGAAATCTGGACTTGGATTATTTCTAATTTGGAGATTAATTCACTATTCTCAGCAATTCTCTCATTAGTGAATAAACCTGTATTACTCACACAAGAGAAACGATACTAGAGCTATAGTTTCTTTCAATACAACCAGTACAGTTGGGTATTAAACATTGCCATGCATCCACAGTCAGTGCTCAAGAAATGAATCCATGCAACTCTTCCATCTCTCAACAATATTTACAAGGGATAGATATTACTCACATTTTTACTGCATCAAATAGATAATGCATTAAAGTAAATAAAAGTGATACTCCAGTTTGAAATACCTACCTTTGTTAACAAATGGTTTGCATTTTTTGTAATAATTTATTAACAGACCAGGAAATAGCTTAAACCACTTAGCCAGACTTGGTACTCCCATTAAAGGGAAATTTATGCACTGGAATAGCTTCTTCTAATTGAAGTGGGTATAGTGCCTGGACTCCCATGGCACTGTCCTTCATTCAGTGTTAAACCATTTTCAATAGTTTAATGCTGCTTGGGCTACTGTGGAAGCATTATCCTGAGCAGCATTGGGTGACTATGATTGCCTGAGAGTGTAAGCTGACTCCTTCAGCCTTTCACAACACCTACTACTGGTATGAATTGGTATGGCTAGAAGCAATTGTGTAATCTCTGCTTTAGCCATACCTCCAGTGGAGAGGCCTTGGACCCATATTTAGTGTTAGGCTGCTCAGAAATAGTTAAACGTTGAACGGAGAGGCAGCACCAGGCATTATTGGCATTATAACCAATTCAATTAAGTGAAATGGATATACAGTGTATCTCTCATTTACAGTAGTGTGAGCACATCCAAGAAACCCACGTGGTGCATTGTCAGCTGTGTTTATTCATGTAGACATCAAAGAGGCGAAATCACATGACTGTTTCCAATCAGTCCAACTACAACCACAGAAGGCACCCTACCTTGCAGATGTGGCAGATCCGGTCCACCTACTATGGAGTTGGGTGTCGATGTGACATTCTATGGCCATCTCCTGATGGAGCATGTTTATAGCTCCACCTCCTCAGCTGACATGATTGACACAAATGTGCATGCGTCATCGCTTCATTGACACGGACATACTTTTTAAAATCACAAGGTCAATTCTAGCTAATCCCTGCCATTTTAGGGCTATTTAAATAAGTTTTAGGTTTTTATCAGTGCCCTGTCATGGTTTCCACTTACTGGTAATCAGAGAGTGCATTTATCTTGTATTTCTATTCGGCATTTATGAACCAGTTGTTATTGACTTCTTTATTTCTGGCATCCTTGAGCTATTAGCCTGTCTACTCGCTTCTGTCTCTTCCTGAATCCCAACCTTGGCTTGTCTCTGACTATTTTATATTTGCACACAGGCCTGGTAATACGTATATTTCTAAGCGTTTATATATAGTTTTACTTAAACACTGTGTGTTGAGTCATAGTATATCCTGACTGGAATTGCTGATCAAGTTACTTTGTGTTATAGCCCTATGTTTTTACATGCCTGTCTGCAGTCGTTGCACAGGCGTTCTCTCTTAAAATTAATGAAGGAGCTTTCAGAGGTAGTTCACAAAATTACCTAAATATTGACATAAAGTGACAGGCTTAGTCTCTTAAAATTGCATTAGGGTGCTTTCAGAGGTAGATTACAAAACTCACCTAAAATGTTCCCTACTAGCCCAGACCATGGCCACACCTCCAAACAACCCCTTAAAATTAAAGTGGCTCTCTACTTTTTCAGCATTTCATAAAGATATATTCATTATGAAATACTGATGCTGACTGTGTTAGAATTGTTCTTAAATTCCAACAAAGCACCAAAGATACAATAAGATTAATTATGGACTAACTCCACTGTCAACTTTTGTCCAGTCCCAGCTGTCATCACAAGTATCGGTCATGGGATTCATTCATGATATTGCTCATCAAGACATCATCTATGTAGGCTTTTGTGGGATCTCAGTGTTGTACTTTTGCGCATGCACGACTGTAGATCACTGATGCAGCTCCAGGCAAAGGAAGCCAGTAGCTAAAGAAGACCAAGTGGAAGATGGAGGCAGCTGCATGCTTAAGGTAGGTAAAACGGGCTTTCCATTGCACCCTTTGGCCATTTAAATCGGCACCCCTCAGTTAATTTTGGGGGTTCCTTTCCAAAGCATGCAAAAAAAAAAAGACAGATGCACTTTGAAATGTACTTTCTTTAGGCATTTGGAAAGTTGGTAAGTATGCTGTTAGAATGCAGCAATGTTTTCTTCTTTGACGTTTCGTTACTGTGTGAAGACAGGGAATTAAATGGAGCCCTGGCAGATACATTTGTTTTTCTCCTGAGTGAAAATTCTTTCTGGAGTATAAAGAAGGCTAAGTGGGGCTTTATGGACTGTAGTTCATTAAATATTAGACTGCACATCAAGGATGATGGAAGGCATTATTTTGCACCTTGCCTAATTACTGGTTTGAGAAGTCACTTTGTAGTTAAAATGGTACGTCAGTAAATTCCAAGACAACTCTTTGATAGGCATTTAACAACAAAGATTAGACTCCATTCAAGTACGGGACAGTGACTGCTAAGTATTTCCCCTTGATGCTTATGTTCTTTGAGCTATTTATTTGGGAACAGAACAATTCTTGGGGAAAATGCTTTTCTGTATTTGTAGTTTTCCGTTACATTAAAATTAAATTACTAGTGAATGGCAAGAAATATGTTACTATGAAATTCATCACACCCATTCAATCTGTCCGCAGGTTCTACATTTCAATGTAAAGTACTTATTGATGAAAGATCCATGCCCATAAAATAACCCACCCATTGATGGAATTTGATAAGGCTGTATGTTGAGTTACACATGGTTGATGTGACAATAATATCCTGTATCCATATGCTGCCGGAACGTTAATCGATTCGCAATATACTGTCACGTTCACACCATACTCCTTGTAATCTTTGACCTCAGTATCTTGATCTCATTTAGATTGTACCGTCCAATGATGGGAAGGAAGCAGGAGAGCAGCACCGTAATGATAGCCATCATATAACCCCAACCGAGGAAACACTTTCCACTCATGTAAATAAAGGATGAGATGCAGATCTGTTTAGCAAATGGAGAACCGAGACTGAATGGGAAGATCAGCAACCCTAGGATGGTGACAACAACTATAAAGCAGAAAAAGAAAAAGGACTTAGTCATCCAGTTGATAAAATCACTCTATTTGTGCTTTTTTTTATATATATCTCCATTTGCCACAACTTTTAAACCCTTAAAGGATCACTATAGGGTCAGGAAGACAAACATGTATTCCTGACCTTATAGTGTTAAAACCACCATCTAGCCCCCCTGAGCCCTTCATGCCTCCATAAATATAGCAAAATCTTACTGTATTCAAGCCTGAAGCTGAAGCCTACATGCTGTTTGCCTCAGAAAAACAAGTTGTCTGCTGACATCATCAGAAGTGGTAGCCTGATCCAATCACAATGCTTCCCCATAGGATTGGCTGAGGCTGACAAGGAGGCAGATCAGGGGCAGAGCCAGCATGATTCAAACACCGCCCTGGCCAATCAGCATCTCCTCAAAGAGATGAATTGAATGTTTGAATGAGACTACTCTGACCACTAAAATAATAAGGATGAGCCAGTGATACGGATGCAAATAAAAATAATTATTTTACTAAAACATAGTCAAGGTCAGCACTACTACAGCGTTTCGACATGTTGTTTAATCACGTATCACAGATTTTAGTCTTAATGATAGTTTTATCCAACTGAAACCCTGCTGAGACCATGTACAATGAAGGTTTGAGCAATAATAGTTATTTTATTAAAACAAACTATTTATGAGAAGCAAAAACATAGAATATAGTGGATTTTCCACAAGCAGGTAAAACATTTTTTGAGTCTATTCCTCACTGCTTTCTCAAATATCTTCCTGTCAATAGATTTTCTCACATTTATCATAAGTACATAACAGCATTAAGCAAAGTCTGTACCTGCTGCAGTCTGGGCATATCTTGCTGGGGTGCACAACCTCCTTTGGCATAGTCCTGCAGGTATGATGGTCCACGACAAAACCAACAAAGCTCCAAAACTCAGTATCAGCCAACCAGCAAAAAGTATAATGGCTGTAATCTAAGAAACATAACTGTGTCATATTCATTTCTTAATGGCAGATTATGTGCTTGGGCAGTCATTATAATTTTTTTTTTTTTTTTTAAAGCCTGAACCCATTTAAGTTCTTTTATATATATACTTGGGAACACAGCATAGCCATCCGTTATTTTATGGTAATGGTTCTGAAATAACCAAAGTTTATAAACATGCACAAATAGAAATCGGGGTACACGTGAAATATTTAAACAATGCTCAGATTGACAAAAAACAAACATTTAAACATTGTTCAAGGAAATTTTAAATCACAAATCTCATAAAATGAATAAGATCTCATCACACCATAAGCCACACTGTGTTTAAGGCTACTACTGCTTACAGTTATCTGATCCAGTTATTTCTCCCAAAAATACTTTGCAGGGCATGTATAATGGAACACGTGCTAATACAGTTTAAAACATTTCTATGTGTGCACCGATTCATCTGGATGGATACCTTTGAGAATAGATCAGGAATTTCTTCCAAGGTCCTGTAAACAATGCATGTCTGGTTGCATGGAGCATTGACTGGTCCACGACACTGGACAAAGACGCCAAATGAAACATCACCATGTGTAAACCAGGCTGGTGACATGAGACTGAAGCCCGAAATGAGGGAGAGAATAAGAGAAAGGACCAACCACAGAAATCCCATAAACGAGAACATCAGGAAGGTTGGCCATTAACAATAATGTTCATTTGCAGCCTGAAAAAAAATTATACTTGATTTCAAACCTTTCTTATTAATAGTAAAGTAAAAATGATTTAAATTGTACACATATATGCATAAAGATATTCAAATTACAGTAAAGGCCTTGATCAATTATATCAACTCAAAATTCGTAACATGAAGTCATGGCTTAAGTCACTTGTAGATTTTAACAGAAATATTGTTTTACTTTACTGAGTTTATGTTAATTGGTGGCTGAAATAATCAATTGATGTTGGTTGAGCAATCATTTATCTTGATAAGTCACCATTCAAAAGTCACAATCATCAATAGGACTAACTAATATTCTGTACTCAGGTTTCATCAAACTAACCAGCATATATCATAATCTGCTACATGAAACTATAAAAGTACATCATCAGCCTATGCCAGGGGTAGGCAACTTTTGGCACTCCAGATCTTATGACCCATTTTCCTTGTTTGTGCTTGGTTTCTTCAGTCTTATAAATTCTGTATGACAAACGCTCCTTCCCATAAACGTTTGCCATGGACTCTTGGAGGAGTGTGGAAGCCGGCCTCCTGCCCACCGACTATGGCCCAGTTCTGGGACACCGTTTAGAAGTTACCCTGCCCAGCCTCCATTAGCAACTTTCCCTGGCTGCCCCTGGTTCAGCACTTTCCCTTTATGCGAATGGAACCGAATGCTAGCTCTCTGGTGGCCATTCTCATGAACCAAACCCACGAATAGTCCTCAGCGGTACAAGGCCGCAACCGCTATGGAACTAATTTCAGCATTCTGACTCTTACTAAATACTTCCTTTACCTCCCAGTATTGTATGGGAACTTCGGGGGTTTGAGGTGTAGTAGTGGGTAATTTTTGGTACCCACTCTCTTGGTGAGGTGTAACATACACTTCCCATTACAATACTTGCCCCATTCCAATATTTCCCCATTAGCCCAGTCAATATGAGGGTTGTGCTTACTAAGCCAAGGAAAGCCTAATATGATAGGGCAAGAAGGAGATGCAATAACTTGAAATATTATATCTTCCTTATGTAAGGCACCAATTGACATGTTAATGGGCAAGGTTTCATGGATAATTAAGGGTTGAGAGAGTGGTCTCCCGTCAATAGCCTCAACGGCCAGAGGTGATATTCTCTCCTTGATAGGTATAGCATTCTTTTTAACAAAATGAATATCAATTAAATTTCCTGCTGCACCTGAGTCCATCAGGGCCTTGCATGAAAAGTTCTTTTTGTCAACTATGATCGTAATATCAAGGAGAAATCTATTATTGTTATTCCCAGAGGACGTATCCATTACACCTAAGACCTATCCCCTTAACGTTCTTAGGTGCGATAGTTTTCTGGACTTATGGGACAAGTACTCCTCATATGTCCCTTTTCACCACAATATATGCATGGACCCTCTCTCTTCTCCGATGTTGTCTTTCTGCCTCGGACAGTCTAGTGACCCCCAACTGCATAGGTTCGGGTTCGGACTGTACAGAGAGGTCAGGAACAACCGGTCTGGAGAAATGAGGTGCTAATGGCAAAGCCATATGTCTGGTTTTATTTTTGGTTCTGAATCCATTATCAATTAGCATAATAAACGTAATAAAGTCATTGAGTTTTTTGGGTAGTTCTTTGGCAGCAATCTCATCCAACATAGTCTCAGATAATCCCTTTTTAAATGCTGAGATTAATCCGCTGATAGTCCAGTCTACCTTGGAAGCCAAGGTGCGAAATTCTATGGCATAATCCAAGATAGACCGGTTCCCTTGTCTAATATGCATTAGGGCAGTGGAGGCGTCATCCTTCCTGCCTAATGGTTCAAACGTAAGTTTAAATTCCACAAGGAATTCCTGGTAATTGTGTCCAATGCTCCTACTACTCTCCCATAACGGATTAGCCCAAGCTAAAGCTTTACCTTTAAGTTGGTTCATCAGGTAACCAATTTTAGCTCTGTCAGTGGGAAAAGATCCCAGTGAGGCCTCAAAATGATACTCAATTTGATTAATAAATCCCCGGCATTCTTGAATGTTACCATCAAAATGCAGGGGAGGAGATAGGGAGATAGTAGGTGCCTTATGTACTACAGGAGGTACATTAGGCGGAGGTGACACGTTTGGAGAAACCGCAGGTTGCAGATGCACTGTTCGAGTAAGGAGCGTACTGAAAGTCTGGGCAAACTGATTCATACGGTGATCATTCTCCACTAGCTTTCTCTCGCAAGCAGCTATGTGCTGACAAAATTCTACAGGATCTATGGCCATGTTGTAATGTCAGGATTACTAGTTGATCCATGCGATGATTATGGCTTACAGCTCATGAAAACCCCAAATCCACAATCTCAGTAAATTAGAATATTACATGCAATCAATAAAACAATGAGTGTACATAGTACAATATCGGACCTCTGAAAAGTATAAGCATGCATATGGACTCAGTACTTGGTTTGGGCCCCTTTTGCAGTAATTACTGCTTCAATGCGGCATGGCATGGAAGCTATCAGCCTGTGGCACTGCTGAGGTGCTATGGAAGACCAGGATGCTTCAACAGCGGCCTTCAACTCTTCTGCATTGTTCGGTCTCATGTCTCTCATATTTCTCTCGGCAATGCCCCAAAGATTCTCTATGGGGTTCAGGTCAGGTGAATGCAGGTGAGTTTGCTGACCAATCAAGCACAGTAATCCCACGGTCATTGAACCAGGCTTTGGTGCTTTTGGCAGTGTGGGCAGGTGCCAAGTCCTGTTGGAAAATGTCAGCATCCCCATAAAGCTCGTCTGCGGAAGGAAGCATGAAATGCTCCAAAATCTCCTGGTAGATGGCTGCGTTGACCCTGGACTTAATGAACCACAGTGGACCAACACCAGCAGATGGCTCTTGATGCACTGACTCTAGCCTCAGTCTACTCAGTGCAGGGCCGGTGCAAGGATTTTTGCCACCCTAGGCAAAAGTAAAGTTTGACGCCCCCCTCCTCCCCCCCGTGACATCGCAATGCCCCACCCATATGACCTGCCATGTTAACTAACGCTAGTGCTGCAGTGCCGCTGTGTTTACATTAAAAGGCCTGCAGGGACAGGCTATAGACACCAGGACCACTACATTAAGGTGCAGTGGTTCTGGGGACTATAGTGTTTCTTTAATGTGAGGTAAATTAGAGATTAGTGCCACGAATAATATACTAGATTACCTACTTACAAGCAGATGAGGATGATGATGGGCTCTAGCTGCAGTCTGGCTCCACTGGTCTGGTGTATAACAGGATCTCTGGAGGCTGTTTGTAACTGTGGTCACACAAATCAATGTTCTGGGAGAACGAGAAGCAGCTCCATTTTTTGGGGGCCCTTTACACAGCTCAAGGTCTGGGTCCCAGGGTCCACCTTCATTTTCCACCAATGAGTTTGTTCACAGGGGATGGAGTGTGTAGGGAATGTCCTGATTTGTGTGTAAGGAATGCATTGTGTGAATCTGTGTTTGTATGTGTAAGGGCTGCAAGGTGTGTTTCTGTGTATGTAAGGGATGAAGTGTGTGAGTCTGTAAGGGGTGCTTTGAGTGTGTTTAAGGGGTGCATTGAGTGTGTGTAAGGAATGCATTGTGTGTTTCTGTGTGTGTAAGGGATGCATTGTGTGTAAGGGTTGCATTGCGTGTGTGTGTGTGTAATGCATTGTGTGTTTTTCTGTGTGCAAGGGGTTCATTGTCTTTGTGTGTAAGGGGTGCATTGTGTGTGATTGTGTGTGTGTGTGTGATGGATGTCAATCTCTCCCCCCTCCCTTGTCACTCTCTTCTCCCCCCCTCCCTTGTTACTCTCATTCCCCCTCCCTCCCCTGTCACTCCCCCCTCCCTGTCAATTTCTCTCTCCCCGTCAATTCCCCTCCCTGTCAATGTCTCCCCCCCCTGTTAGTTTCTTTCCCCCCCACCTCCCTGTCAGTTTCTTTCTC